TGGCTGTGAATCCATGGCTATAGCTGTAGGTTTCTACAAGTGCATTTTTCTTCCACAGCTATAGCTGTGATTCCACGACTATAGCTGTGAGTTTCTGATCTTCCAAAAACTCCATGGAATTCACCTCCGTTTTCACCCAAAACCTCCATGAACCTACAATCCAAGGAACCACAGTCCATGCTACAACTCAAATGCAATACTACCAACCACATGCAACCCAAAAACATCAAAAATCACCACATGCATGCATCCAAAACTCAAGAAACAAAAAAGAAAGAAAGAAAAAAAAACACAAATGTTCAACCTTCCATCAAGAAACCAAAAACCCCCAATGTTCAACATGAAAATCACTTCGGATTCATCCCCCCATTTACAATTTTTCCATAATCAAGCCTCTATTTACTCAACAACTTAACATGCAAAACAAAATCTCCATTTTCTAGCTTCCCTTACCTCGGCACAAGAATCCGAGCTTCGGGGAGAATCCAACGAAAAAGAAGAAGGCTTGAAACGAGAGAAGAAGAAACCCGACGTGGAGAAAAGGAAATTCGTCCAGCAACCCAAAAAGCTCTAGTCAGTACCAGAATCAGCACAAGGGTTCAGCAATTGAGAGAATGAGAGAAAGGAAGGAGAGTGTATCTTAAGTGAGTAAGAAAGGAGTTGGGGAAGAAGAGGGAACGGAGTAGGGGTCTCACAATTTAAATTCCAATTTTCATTTCATCCAAAATAATGTTGGAAGTTAATCCTGTTTTTATAACATGCTCGATTGCTCGGTTATGGTCGGATGATTAATGGTTTGGTCTTTAATTATCTCTAATAGTATAGTGTGTGATTTATATAACCCATTTTATTTAGTAAGATGATACTTATCTTATTATTATTATTATTATTTATCACGTTCTGTTTATTTTTGGGAAAAAAGTATTTATTTTATTAATGATAAAATGGTATAAATAAAAATAATTAATCTGATACAAATATACTACTAAATACTAATAAATGTTTGTTTTGTTCTATATTCAATTTATGTTGGAAGTATTGGCGGTCTTCTTCAATTTACGAGCAAAATGAATGTATTCAGTGTTCTGTAAAAAAAGCTATATTAAAGCTTGCATGAAAGTAATTAATTATTATTTTTTATTTATATATCTGGAATTTCGTCGTCAACAAAAAAATAAAAGTGGAGGTTTTCAAATCTTTCTTTCGTTATATTCCATTTGTATTAATACAATCATATCTTTTAATAGTATTATGTGTGAGACCTCGTACGGATTTGTTTTTTCCCAACTCACTTTCTCTCTAAACTCTCACTTTCATATTTCACTCTCTCATTTTCCCTTTTGTTCTTCTCCTCAAATTTCTGTCTCAAGGTGGTGGTGTGGAGTAGATTCGGGTTGCTAGCTGAGTAATTGGAGTTCTCTTTTCTCCTCCTTCGTCGTTCAAGCTTCTCCTTCTTCTCCTTTTCTCTCCGTTCAAGTTTGCTCTCTTCCTGGAAGCTCAGATTTCTTCACCGAGGTAAGGGAAGCTAGATTCTTCGCTGTTTTTGGATGCAAATGAGTTCAAGAAACTCATCAATTGTTGAAGTTGGTTGTTATTAGCTGAGTTTTGAGGAAAAATGGAGTTTTCGGGGTTTTGGGGTTTTTGAAGAAAATTTGGGTTTTTCTTGGATTTGTGGTTGCATGTTGAAAATGAAGTATTTTTCTTGATGTTTGATGAAAATGTGGACTTTTGGATGGATTGCATACTGGTATATCTAAAATCTGTAACAATTTCTTAAATACAAATATTTACTTCTTAAAGAATTATTTTTTTAAAATTAGGAGTGAATAATATCTCACTAATTATACTTGATTAGTGTCCAAGTTAGATGTTTAGCTAGTGTAAGGTTTTTAATTTGTCTTTTAAAATAAGACTGTACTAACCTATGATTGTGTTCACGATTTTGAAAAAAAAGAGTCTTTTTCTTAAAAAACTTTTGATTCAAAACTGTGAATTTCTTAAAATAAGTTTGGAATTAATTTGTTTATAAACCAATTTTAAACATGTTTATAAAAATATTTGCTTTAGAACTGATTTATTAATATGATTGAAATAATTCTTAAACTATTCAAAACTTTAAGTTCTTAAAATCAGTTTGAAATTAATTTGATTATAAAATTGGTTATAAACCAATTTTGAACATGTTTATAAAAATGATTTGGTTTAGAACTGATTTATTAATATGATTAAAATAATTCTTAAACCAGTTTAGTGTGATTCATTTATATATATATATATATATATAATTGAAAGTAACATAAAGGGTTATAAATTCAATGAATAAGTGTGAATAATCATATTTAGTGAAATCTCTTTAATCAACTACTTTTTTTTTCAACAGAGTTTAAATCCAAAATATTACTTACGATTTTTCATCATGATTCCATTCGTGACCAACATAATGTTGGTAAATTTTTCTTTGATTTGGAAATATACCCAAGTTTATGTGGTAAACATAAAAAAATATAACATTTTTTTTCAAATCATCATGATAAAAAAAAATACATTGCTAACATTAAATATTTAACTTTTAAATAAAATAAAATTCACCTATAAGGAACATTAGAGCTTGTTTACTCAAAACTTGCGTTTGAACGAAGGGCGTGAGAGGTCGTTCACTCAAAAATTGCACATGAACTATAAAGTTTGTGACTTTGCTTATAAGTGACATTGGAGAGTCATATGATAGTTGTTGCAACTTTGAGGAAAGGAAAAGAAGAAAAAAAAGGTGTTTTGATAGTAAAATAATAAATAGATTCATTGCATAATTAGCAACGATGTCATATCATGGTGTGGATGACACATTCAAATATTAATAAATCATGCATGTATCTAGCTAGCAATGATATTGGTGTCATATAATGGAGTTATAAATAACCTCCTTAATTTAGCTTCTTATTGTAAAATTATAGATTGAACTTGTTTCGATGTTTATTAATAGAAAGTTATAATAGCGTCGGCTTTTCCGCTACTATTTGCGTCAACTATTAGCCGACGCTTATTTTTCGTCGCTTATTCACCATTTTCTTGTAGTGGATCACCATCCACTAGATAAGTAATTATGTGTGAAGAATAATATTTATTAATTTTTGCAACATGCTAATTTCAATTTTAGAAGAAACATGCATTCCATTGTGATCTAATGATAAACACTGTATTGACGAAAAACTTGAATAACAATTTTTATTTTCACCCTCACTTCATTCAAAGAATTCTATGTAATTTGTAGCTGAAAAAAATGCAAAAAAGGCAAATCCCATAATCCTATATTTTCATGGATTATATTTATAGCTAGAAACAAACTTTACAAACCAGAAAAAAGAGAAAAATTGAAGAAAATTAGGTTAAGATAAAAATAAGTATGTATTAACTTTTTTTTTTAAGATAAAAAAATTACAAAGATGATCACAATAAAGATTAAACATAACTCTTCATGTTTCTAACTACCCCAATCCCTCCCACCCAACCACTAGACTAATGGTATATGTATTAACTTTTAAAATAATAGAATCAATGATTAAAACAAAAGATCATTATGATATATATGTCAAAACTATAACAATTTAATACATCTCAAGTGATAAAACATAACAATTATAATGACTTACATAATTTTTATATTTTTACTTTATACATGTCTACATTATTATCCACATCTTATTATTGGGAACAATTTATTATATAAAATAAATGTTATAAATCAATTATTATTTATAATTAATTTTAGAATAAAATTAAATTTATTAATAATAAAATTTTAGCCCTTATTTTGAGTCAACAATTTTTTTTTAATCAATTGTTATTTGGATGAAATTTTTTTAAAAGAACAGTATTAACAACTTTATATAATAAGATATATAAAATAAATATTATAAATCAACTATTATTTGTAATTAATTTTATAATGAAATTAATTATTAATAATTGGTTTCTAACCATAATTTTGAGCCAACAAAAATATTTTTAATTATTTTCTATTTGGACAATAAGAGAAAAATCACTTCAAATGTTAATAACTTTATATAATAAAAAATTATAATATAAATATTATAAATCAATCAATATTTGTAATTAATTTTATAATGAAATTAATGTTATTAATATTCAGTTTTTAACCCTAATTTTTAGCAAAAGAAAACTTCTTAATTATTCCCAAATTGGATGAAAACTTTTGGTGAAAAATTACTCCAAAGGTTAACAACTTTGTACAAGAACATATATATATATATATATATATATATATATATATATAATTTTAAAATTATTAAATTTTTAATGAAAGGAACTAAAATCGTACAATTGTGATACTAAAAAAATTTAAATTGCTTAATTAAAATTTAAAATACTAAAATCACATAATTATAATACTTGAGAAATTAAAATTATTTAATTAAAACTTTAAGAATTAAAATTGTACGGTTACAATACTTAAGGAATTAAGGTTTATGGTAGATAAAATTTGATAAATCCTCTTTTACAAGTTTTACGACTCCCTCTTTCATTTAAAGTGGTGACATCAATTAATTTTTCTCATTTGAAAAGTTTATATTATAGACTTAACATACTAATTTTAAAAGGTGAAGAAAATTCTTAAAATAAATATAATATTTTTTATTTTGAACGATATCTTAAAAAAATTATTAGTTTTTAAATATAAAGAATAACCTACACATTTGAATTGAGAAATTGGAATGGTATACAAAACATCTGCTAATGTTTTAAAGCGAATATCCAAAATATATTCCTATGAACTTAATTTCTCATCCTTTAGACAATACGATGATCATCGTGAAATGAAATTACAAATGAGAGAATGGGATAGATCATCTACATAAACACCTGCGAATCACATAATTGACACTAGCATTACGCTACGTCCCGAAACAAACAAACATAAAAAACAGAAAACCCTATCTTGGACCCGAGATATTTTGCGAAGAAATGTAAGAAAAACGACCAGTTAGTGAATCACTTGGCATGCTTGTAGAATCACGTGCTTGTTGATGCAGCATAGAAGCATACCCATTTTCTTCCGCTATGGTGGAAGCCTCGGTAAACCTACGTCCATAAAACCGCAGGAAGTTCAAAGATTCTATCCTGGGGTGTGGCAATGGAGTACTACCCTCCAACATGCCAACAACAGTTACCATGTTTGGCCTAAGAGCTGGTTCTTCATGAACGCAACACAAGGCAATGCGAACAAGTTTCTCCACATCTTCACATGTAACACGTCCTTCTAGCCTTGGATCAGCCAACTCTAGGTAACTCCCTTGCTCATGCATCTCCAATGCAAATAGAGGAAAATAAACCAACCCTGGTGTTGATGAGGTTGAGGAATTTCCTCCACCACTGTTGCTATCATCAATGCTATGGCTTCTCGATCTAAAATAACAGTTCTTCCTTCCACTTACAAGTTCAAGAAGTACCATTCCAAAGCTATAGACATCAGTTTTTTCAGTAATGGCTGAGTTGGTGAGCCACTCTGGAGCGAGATAGCCACGTGTGCCTCTCATTGTTGTGAACAAACCAGACTGTTCAGAACTAAGGAGTTTCGAGAGTCCGAAATCAGATATCTTGGCTTGAAACTGATCCTGCAAGAGAATGTTCTCGGGTTTGATGTCACAATGGATAACCTTTTGCTCACAGCCACTGTGAAGGTAAGCAAGTCCACGTGCTGTTCCAAGCGCCACATCAAACCTCTCTTGCCATTCCAAAACGGGTCCACCACCAAAGAGGGTTCGGTCAAGGGATCCACGGTTCATGTACTCATACACCAACAAACGGTGTCTCCCTTGAGCACAAAAGCCTTTCAGTTTGACCAAGTTAACATGGTGGATGTTTCCAATAACACCAATCTCAGTGCAGAAGTCTTTTTTCCCTTGAATGCCTATGTTCACTATTTTCTTTACTGCCACAACGGACTTGTCAGGAAGCACACCCTTGTACACTGCTCCAAATCCACCCGACCCTATTAGAGTCTTGAAGTTATCTGTGGCCTCCTCAAGCTCTTCATAGTCAAACCTTGCAGGTAAGCCAGGAATGTAGAAGGCATCAAGGTCCCCTGAAGAAGGTGACTTTTTCCCTAGTTTCACTTCTTTCATTCTTGAAAGTGTTAATTTTCTCCACACAAGGAAAACTATGGCCGTCACAATAATGAATCCAAGAATAGGTAATAGCACAGCAACTGCCACAGGAAAACCCCCTTTTTTAGAACTCTGCTTGTTATTACTATCATCACTTGTGGATGCAACAATAGCTTTAATGAACCCCAACATTTCTCTTTCACCTCCATTACTTGACTGAATCGATCCCAACTCATTCTCAACCATGTAACAAGAACCAGTTGTGTTTTTATAGAAAAATCCCATGCAGGAACAGTTACTAGAACAAAGATTTTGACAAGCAGTTAAGTTCCATCTATACATAACTTGATCAGTATAAAAATTGCCAAAGTACTCAACATACCCAATATTTACAAATGAAACTACTGAAGAATATTTACAAGCATTTGGCAAAGAATAGGATCTATCGTTTGGCACACAACCACCAGAGTTACCTGAGCCTACATGGAAGTTTGGGGGACAAGAACAAACAGGTGTAGATGAAACAGTGTTCTCAGTGCATAAACCTGCTCTTCCACAAGCTAAAGGAGTTTGACATCCATCACCTGGCCCCACAAACTCCTGCTTCAAGTTAGTGCCAGAAAAGCTGTTGATAGTGAAGTGGCCATGGGTATCCAACTTGGCAATTCGAAAACTAGCCAGTGGCAAACTCAGTTGAAAAACGGTTCCACCAACTCCAAAGAGATAAAACCCTGTGTTGTTTATGGCCATGTATTCAACCACATCATACGAATTCTTATAGACTTCTATATCCATGGACAGTTTCCAGTATGTCTGTCCATACCATTGCAGTATTGCATCAGAGGACGTTATTGTGAGCTTGTAATTTGTTGTTGACAAGTTTGAATTGGACCCTTCACTTGACAAAGATTTTCCAACAGGCAAACGTTGTCCAATTACAATTGTGTCAGTTGGGTTTTGGAAACTCTCCCAAAGAGAATCATTGGACTTGTCAAGTAAGACAAGATTTCCCATCTCAGTCAGCACAAGCCTATTTACTTGAGACTTCAAAGATGGCGTTGACCATTTGTTGTCCCCATCTTCATCAATAATTGTAATCCCTCTGACAGTTAGAAACATTTTACCAGAATCTGAGATGGGGCCATCACGGTTTGCAGACCAAATGATAGTGTTGGAGGCAGCATGAATGACACAAAGATAGAAACGGGCTTGTTGGTCACCAGGGTTGAATATTGCAGCCTTGAATGTTTTGTTTTGAGACAACAGGAAGGTTCCAAAGTTGTCAATGAACTTAAGATATGAGGCAGTGAAATCTGGATTGATATAATCTGAAAAAGTGCGAGCTGAGATGGTAGTAGACAAAAGGAAAATGCAAGAGAAAGTTATGATGATAAGTTTCATGGTGTAATTTGATGAAGTCCAGAATCGAGAAAATTAAGAAATGGATTTGGAATAGAGGAGGGGAGAACATGAAAGGGTGGAATTGGTCTAGTTTGGTGCTTTCAATTTTCTTTTCTCGTATGCTGATACCCATATTTGCGTTGACTATTGAAAATCTTACAGCCCCACCTCTCTTTCTAACAAACTGTTTCCAAATTCCAATTCATAACGAAGGTGAAGGTGGGGATTTTTATTATCTAGTGATTACACTAGATAGACACGCAATGATAAAAAATTTAAGGGACATTGAAACTTTTATATATGTATTTATTCTGTTTTGGGTGATTTGCTGTCAAAACTAATGACTCTTGACTCATTGCCATTTGTCTATTAACATATTTTAAAGCAGTTATGTATGCTATTTTCCACAATTCTCATGCTCCTCAAATTATTGTTCTCAAGTAAAATAAAGCCGACTTATTTTAAAATGCAGCAACTTATATATGGGCCAGCATGTCGTGAGTAGTTAATATAATTTTAATCTGAAATAATTGCAGTTACATGCATCATGCATTCTTCCACAACTCATCCTTTTATGCATATTATATTTATTTTATTTAATAGCACAAAAAAACAACTACTTCCTCTTTCTTTAAACGTATATGGGAGATTGGAGAAAACACTTAAAAAACTAAAACATGTCACACAACTTGTCTGCATCATAAAGTCAAGGGACGACCTGCTAAGCATTGGGGGCCTACGCCTCCATGCGCGGATATTTTATAATTATTATATTCATATACCAAATAAAAGAAAAGTATAATGAAAGAGAAGTTAGATTTATGAATATAATAATTATAATGTCTTCTTCTATAAAAAATGTCAAATAATTTGTAAGCTTTTAATATATTGCATATTTTCATTTGTATTTAATTCTTTCTTTATAAAAATCTAAAAGAACATGCACAAATTAGTTTATATATAAACTAATTTTAGTTTATAAAAAAATTTAACCGAAGAACATGAGTAAGAATTAAAGGATTCTTAAGTACTAGTATTCTAATTCGTAGAATTCACAAACATATTTATTATATAATTAAAATTTATAAATTATATGTATATGTAAAAATTATTATGTTTGAATATATAAATTATATTTAAAATTTGTATAAATAGATATTCTTAAATATATAAATTATATTTTAGATTTATGATAATTAATTTATATTGTAGTATAAAATTATTTTTATTTATTAAAAATTTATTTTAAAATATTAATATTTAATTAATAGATAATTATGATAAATAAAAAAATTAAATAAGAAGTTCAAATAATTTCTATAAACTTTCTCGTCGAAGAAAAACTTCCTAGAAACACTCTCTGTTTAATAAATAAGAATTGATTCAATTTATTACAAATTCAAAATTTCTTAACAAATATGTTTTTTACATTTTCACTTAATTACATACTTAAAATAATTTTTATTATAAGGTAATATTCATGTGCTGAATTACAAAATAGTTAAGAGAAATGTTAATGTTGAGATTCAAGGAATATGAAACCACAAGACAAGAAAGTCAAGCAAATTACAAGTACAAGAACAAGAGAGAATCAAGAATGATAATGAGAGAACTCAATACGAAAAGAAAGAAAAATGAAGTAGAGTAAATGCATTGATCTCACTTCAACATATGAAAATTGTTACAACGATATACATGTGTGTGTGGTACAAAACATGTCATGTGATGTAACTAACTCATGTGCCCTATATAGAAAATACATGATTGAAGTTAGAAACTAATAAGGTATTATAACAGACAGACGTTATATGGTCTACATCCATGTAAGTCAAACATTACACTCCAGACACAACCTCTCCTCAAACAAAGCTTCTACTTGATTCACTCACAAACCATTTGACGATTCATTAATCTAAAGATTCTAAGTCAATACCGACAATCTCTACCTTGACTATATATAAAGGTTGTCATACCTCCATAGTCTTCAAAGCTATATCCTTCTTTTGATCGGTCTCCACCAACTCCTTCAGATAAAGTTCACCAAGTTCAAGCACCTCTCATACTTACATCTTGGTAGAGACTTGGTAAACATATCAACAGGATTATCATCTTATTCAATCTTCACAACCTCACTACTCTTGTTTCAATCACATCTTACGAAATGAAGTTTCACATCAATATGCTTTGTCCTCTCATGGTACATCTAATGATTAGCTAGATGAATAACACTCTAACTATCAGAATGGATTGGGATGTACTCCTTCTCAATTCCCAAGTCACTAGCATTCCCTTCAGCCACAGGCCCTCCTTCTTTCCTTCTACCAACGCAATACACACAAATTTTGTAGTAGATAATGCTACTATTGACTAAAGATTTGACTTCCAACTCACAGTAGGTCCATACAATGTAAACACATACCCAAATAAGGACTTCTTGGTGTCAGCATTTCCTGCATAGTCAATATCCACAAATCCTTCAATTGAAGCTTGACCTTGAGATATCTCCCAATATAGAAGTCCTAAACCCAGAGTTTCATTCAAGTATCTTAGCATCCACTTCAGCACCTCTTAGTGAATCTGTCAAACATTCCCCATCAACCTATTAACAACACTCACAACATGAGCCTAGTCTAGTATTGTACAGACCATCTCATACATGATGCTTCCAACTCCACTTGCATATGGAATTATATCCATTCTTCTCCTTCTTCCTCAGAATCAGGAGCTTAACTCTTTGGCAGCTTCGTGTGATGCCCCAAAGGTGTACCCACAAGTTTAGACTAATGCATCTTAAACCATTCCACAACCTTCTTTAACTAGCCTTGTTGAGACAAACACATAACACCTTTCATCTAATCATTCTCCATATTTATCCTAAGAATGTGTCTGGAAAAATCAAGATTTTTCATCTCGAATTCTAAGTTGCTTCGTCTTGTATTGGCTAGTTAATAGGATATCGTCTACATATAGGAGCAAATACAAATGATCTTTTCCTCAACACACACTGTAGAAGTGACTATCATAACTAAACCTCTTAAATCCAATCCTTATCAGAAAGTTATCAAACTTCTTATACCACTACCTTGGACTCTACTTTAGACCATATAGTGATTTCTACAGTAGATACACTTTCTTATTATCATCTACAGACCCTTATAGCTGCTCCATGTAGTTGGTCTTATCCAAACCTCCATGTAGAAAAGTTGTCTTAACATCTAATTGTTCCAAATACAAATGAAATTGGTTGGCACTAGACAACAAGATCTTGATTGAGCGTTTTACCACCGGTGAGAATATCTCATTATAATCAACACTTTCAATCTATGTAAAGCCCTTAGCCGCAAGCCTCACCTTAAACCTCACATCCTTTACCCCTGGAATTTTGTCTTTCCTTTTAAAGACCCACTTGCATTCCACCACCCTCTACCCCATAGGTAAGTGCATAAGCCTCCATGTGTGGTTCTTCTCCAATGAGTCAAGTTCTTCCTTCATAGGACATAGTCATTGCTCCCTCTCCTTAATCTCCTATGCCTCCCTAAAGTTTCTAGGTTCTCCAAAACCTTTCATTTGTTCAGTCACACTAAGAACATAGCAGATAAGGTTAAGTTGTCTAAACCTTCTTTTAGGTTTTGGAATCCTCCTCTTCCTATCAAGCATTAGTTGATAGTCCCTAATAGTTGTTAAGTCAGACGAAGCAATTTCCAGAAAGGTTGAGTGTGACAAATATAATGCACGTGGTTATCTCTAACAAGTGTGTTAGTGTTTCAGAAGAACATAAGTACAAGAAAAGTGAAGAACAAGCATATGCATCAGAAGACACAAGACGATAGACAAAAGGCTAACACAAGCATCCAACAAGCCAAATCAAGAACAAGACAAAAGCGCGTCAAGCACAACCTAAAGTGAAACATAAAGACTCAGATGAAGGTTGGTCAAAGGTCATTTGAAAGTATGACCATATACAAGTTGACCAGACGAAAGGAAAAGTCAATGCGTTAATGACAGATGCTCAGACAAAGGTCAAGGCTTGAGCTACATATAAACTACCAGACGCAGACAAAAATTGTCACGCAATCACCTAAGGAATCAAATTTCAAAGGAAAATTTTAATATCATCCACACTCACAGGAGAACACACGAAGTCATCGAAAGTGTGAGAAGACAAGAAGAAAGAAGGAAAGTAAGCACAAAGCGTCAAATCCCGAGTGTGTCAGAAAAAGGACACCTACTTTCTGATAAAGATAACGTCTCTACAGCTAATCCCTAGGATTTTGTGAAAGTTAGAATCTGCCGATTCAGAACAATATATGCATTGTTCATAAACAGGAAATAACATTTAATGCAAGATCAAGTGCATTAAATGAAAGGATTAAAATAGTCATGAACGACTATATCAACTTCAACGGACATACGCAACGAGCAAATTTTACAGGTCTATAAGTATGCAATAACCTCAAACCGAAAAAGGTTGACAAGAAGCAACGAAAGAATGACCATAGGCATTGCCATAGGCTCTGAGCATTAAGCACCAAAAGTAATATCAAGCCCAAGAGAAAAACAGAGAAATCAGATATCGATTCTTCATAGTCAAATCTACAATGTATCATTGTATTCATCTCTGTAGTCTAAGGTGTTCCAAGCGTATCTTAGGTAGGAAGCCTTAGTGAGTGTTGTAGCCTTATGTATCCTCTTTGTAAAGAGTAACCCACACACTCAGAATCTCTGTAGGACTAAGGTAGTGAAACCTTAGAGAGTGTAGTAAACCTTTGTATCCTCTCTGTGAGAGTAACCCAAACACTCAAACTTGATTATACGTCTATCATCTGTAAAGCTTGAAGAGGATAAAGGGAAAGAATACTTGTAAAGCCTGGAGAGGCTAGTCAAAGAAAACTCACTACAAGCCTGAAGAGGCTGATTAAAGAATATTAGCGCTAGTGAGTGAAGCTGGCGGGTCAAGAGTGGTCAAGAATACTTGGACCAGGAGTGATTCTGACCTAGGTAGTCCATAATACTCACTACTAGCCAGAAGTGACTGATAAGAATATACTAGCACTAGTGGGTGAAGCTGGCGGGCCAGGAGTGGTCGAGAATACTTGGAGAATCAGAAGTGATTTAAGAATACTAGAGCTGGTGAGTGGAGCTAGCTAACCAGGAGTGGTTGAGAATACTTGTGACTAGGAGTGGTCATGACTGGGATTGTCTAGAATACTCAGGGCCTAGAGAGGTCG